TTGGCCTGCCGCCTGGAGATCAGAAAAGATCTTCTTGGTGGACACGAGAGGTACAACTGGCAGTTAAAGAAAACAGAGCAGCGTTCAAAAAATGGCTTGGAAACAAAGAGCCTTCAACCCATTTATGGTCCGTAGAAGCATGCAAGGCAGCAGCGAAAGCCAAAGCTGTTTCCTGGGAGAACTTCAGCCAGGTGTTGAAGTAGAATTTCCAGACGAAAGACAAGGTATTCTGGCAGACTATCAGTCGGCTCCGACGTGAAAATAAAGGTAGTCTAAGAGTCTTGAAAGACCAGTATGGACCCTTCTTACCAAGGATGAAGAAATTCTTCGGTGATAGAGAGGGTACTTTAAGGAACTAATTAACCCTGAGCAATTAAGGAGTATTCGCTTGTAGAGCCGCAGGGAACGGATAATACTATTTCTGCAGACGAATTCACACAACCTGTGAAAACCTGAAAGCTAAAAAGGCTGCTCTAATTGAAGAAATCCATCCTGAAATGCTCCTAGCAATAGGCAAGGAAGGTATGCGCTCTCTTTGTGCCTGTCAAACTACAGTGGCTACAGGGAGCACACTGGCAAACTGGAGAACGAGGTTTTTAATAACCCTGTTCAAGAATGGAGGCCGTAGAGTGTATTCAAATTATCGGGGCATTACCTAGTTGAGCCTCTGGGGCAAAGTCACGCAAAGGTGCTAAAAAGAAGGTCTCGCAGAAAAACTGACTCTAGAAAACAAGAAGAGCGTTGTGGCTTCTGGATAGGCGGAAAGAGATCTGACCAAATATTCGCCCTACGTCAGACTGGTGGCAAAATGCGGTAGTTCGCCCGTCCGATGAACTTGTTTTGTTGACCTAGAAAACGCCTATGACCGGATCCCACGCAGCAGTCTGTGGACATGCCTTCATGCATACGGCATTGATGGCGAGCTATTAAGCGCCATCCAATCACTGTGCTCTGATAGCAGGTGTTGCGTCAGAGTTAATGGCGTTAACTCGAAACCATTCAACGTTCGCACCCGTTTCCGCCAAGGCTGCGTCCTGTCCCCTATCCTGTTTGTGTTGTACATGGATG